CTAACCTAAAAACACTGAACAAATGTTTAAATCATGGGTCGCCTTTACGACTGCGCAGATACCTGTTACATGTATACTGTGGACTGAGAGCATTCGGAGCCTTTGAACTTTTGCATTGTTTTTATGCTTTTAAGCGGCTTAAATTAAATGAAAACACAGTAAATGTATTCAGCAGGTTTGCATGTTGCCTTGCATGCAAGCACACAGTAAATTGAATCTTTGAAGCATTTTAATTTAATATTAATTAAGGGCACCAGAACTAGTTCTGCAATATGGCTAAAAGCTCCCCCAGCTTTATTATGGACCACTGGACCTCTGTGTCTGTCACGCTACATTAGGTAAGTTAAAATGGTGAATAACATTTAAAATTTAAAGAGGGCATTTTCATACTAAAAGTGTCCAAGAGCCAAGTGTCTCAGTGCAGACAGAGTTTGCTGTTATCATTGTGCACCTGTCACAAGCAACTCCCCCAGTATCAGTGCTTTGATGTGAAATAATGTGAGTGAATTTAAATTTAAAGAAGATCTTTTAGGTCTATTAGATTTTGGGTAGAATCTAATCTCATGCTACAAAAGAAAGAAAATGAGAGAAATCAGAGGTGTTGGTGTGGTTCCGGACTTCTGTGATTGGCTCTGGGGACTAACTTTACTTTTTTGTTTGTTAAAAAAAAAAAAAACACCACATTTTTAGATATGTGTTCATACATCACCTAGAATGACCCCCCCCCCCCCCCCCCCCCCCCCCGCCGCCTTTATTTGGAATATGTGACAACTTCTTGGAATAATGTTGTTACAAGACTTCCAGCAAAACTAGTGGACTGGACTTCACCAAGAATCACCAACTAAAACCAAAACCAGTCTGAATCTGGCAAAAGCTGTGGGGGTTGCTAGACATTCTCTTCTCTGGCAGTGATGGCAGGAAATATAATCCTGGTCAAAGCATTAGCAGCTCTCCTGCTGATAACATTATCCACCTGTCTGGGACAGGCCCAATCCGTGGGTGGGCCACTGTGCCCACACCACCACCCGTCAAATAAAAAAAAAAGTGAAAAATGACACCAGCTACACTAAAATGATGCCCAGCTTGGTCCAGGGGCAACATCTTTTGTGGAAATTGAATCAGATATTGCATGAAGTGTTGCTGAATTATGTTTTTTGTGAAACATCTCGCCAAACAAGCTGAATTATAATAATTTGGTCTCATTCAAAGGTAGCAAAATACTGAAAATACTAGGCTGTTTAGTGGAGGGTATAGTGATGTGTTTGCATTATTGTGAAAGTTTATAGTGATGCTCTATCTTTGAGAGGTACAATATATCAAGATTAGCAGCCATCAATTTATATTCAAGGTGATAAAGCTGATTATTTTCACTCACAAAATTCTAACTTTTATACTAGCTTTATAGTGTCTAGGGTTTGGTAATCAGCTTGTGAATCACCTAAATATATATCTAATCAAATTCAGTTGGCTAAATCCACAAAGAGCAGTAAATGCTGGAGTAGCACAGGTCAGCTGACCACAGTCTGGACCAGTGTTGGTCAAGTTACTTGAAAAAAGTAATCAGTAACTAATTACTGATTACTTCCCCAAAAAGTAATCCCGTTACTTTACTGATTACTTATTTTCAAAACTAATTAATTACTTAGTTACTTAGTTACTTTTACAAACACGATTTACAACCTGAATGGGTGATAAAGCGATAGATCTTTCAGCCCAATTCTACTTTTTCTGCATAATCCATCATACAAAATGTAATCAAATGGAAAGGTCTCTTTTTAAAACTTGTTTTATTAGTTTTAATCTTTTAACTTTATGCATCAAGCAAAAATGTAATTATATGCAACATTCTCTGACTGGAAGAAATTAGTTTAATATTTAAACCTATTTTCTACACATTCCAGCACATGAAATATATATTTTTTGTGTGTTTACACTCACTCTTTCAAATAGATGCAAGTAAAACACAGCAGAAAATAAATAAAGTCAAAGACTCAGCAGCCCTTTTGCTCTATTTTCACCTGTAAAGCAGGAGTAGGGTAGGCGGAGGTTTACCCTGGTGCAGGTGTGCCGCAGCGGTCAGTTGAAGAATCCGCGAGTTTCTCTGTGAGTTTCCCATTACGTCGTAGCTACTCGGTGTTTGCTCGGAAGTTTAGGGTTTTTTTTCGCTGTAAAAAGAAGTTTTCTTCCCACGCACAACGGACACTAATGTTTTTGTCACTTTTTATGGAATCAAACTCCAAATAAGGTCAGTACTTCCACGCTTTAAACGCTGCACGCTCATACTCTCTCTCGCACTTGATATGTTATCCATTGTTGATCTGCACACAGCTGTTGTCACGAACGTCGCACTTGCTTATGTCACTGTCATGAGACATTCTTGCAAAAAATCACGGTTTTAGTAACGCAGTAATGCAGCGTTCCTACGGAAAGTAACGGTAATCTAATTACCGTTTTTGCAATAGTAATCCCTTACTTTACTTGTTACTTGAAAAAAGTAATCGGATTACAGTAACGCGTTACTGCCCATCTCTGGTCTGGACACAAAAAAAATCAGCTAGAGCTCATGAAACGAGTTGTTATGCGAAGTATTTCTATTCAATTTCTTTCCCCATGCTGCACCACTACACTCAGTCGCAAGGTTCCCCCACCTGCCAAATCTCATTTTAACCCCTGCTCAAGGCACACTTCAAAAGGAGCACAAGAGTTTCTCAAAGGAAAGAAACTGGGTATTCTTCAATCGCCATGTCAGTCACCTGATCAACCCAACAGATTATGCTTTTCAGATGTTAAATGCAACATTGACTGCAGAAAGACCCAGTGTAGAGAGGCGACACTACAAAAACAAATGTGTCATAGTCCAAATACTTATGGACCTAACTGTAAGCCTATCATCCTTGGGCCAGGAGTGTGTCACACTCAAAGAAGACCAATTCATCATATTTACTGTGATGTGTGGCTGAGCACTCTGTGCAGCTATGAGTGAAAGTCAATAAGTGCGAGCACGCTAGCAACAGTAACAACATAAACATAACGTTTTTGTTTGTATGGCTAAATGGGTTTTGACTTAGTTTCCACAGTTAGAGAGGTGCACTTGTTTCAAGTCATGTTAATTGCCTTGGGACAGGATACAGCACAGCCACAAATTTACACAATGACACAGAAAGAGTGCAGATGGGAATGTAATATTACCACCCTCTGCATTTTGTCAAGTCCTCGTGTAAGTGAACAAGCCTTTATTTTGTTAGATTGTCCCGGGTTCGATATTTTTTCTGAATTAGCAAGTCAGCGGGGTCTCTGTGGAGCTTCATTGCCACCATGCTGTGACATGTTCGGCGGTGCTGTTTTGTTTGTTATTTTTGCCAGAGGACTTAGAATGTGTTGAATAGGTCAAACAGTCACTCAGCGAGGCTGCGTTGCTTCTCCTTCCATGTGTGTATATGTCATTGTGCTCGGTCGGTGTACCAGAACAGACTCACCACATTGTTCATTAGACTGATGATCCATTATTCAGTTCAGCGTTTTATACAAAGCAATTTTGTCATCTGTATATATTTTGATAAGTGAGTCTCAAAGGTTCAAAACACATTTTTGTCCGACTGTTTTGGCACACGCGGAGAAAAATCATCCTAAAACGCATTTCAGCTGGGGACAGTTTGTCACTGACATTGCATAATATAAAGTATGAAAGGATGTCTCTTATAATTGCCGTGGCATTTAGGCGAGAAACCTTATTATCTAACCAATCATGTTCAGTAAAGTTCAAGCTATTCTTTCAGCAAGCTGAGCTCGTGGTTTTTATCTTCTAGCATGCATACAGTAACATTGTGAGATAAAGTTGGATTATTGGAGTCAGATTTAAGAGAGTCAGTGACCACGTGAGGTATATGAGGTGAACCTTGACTTCTCTGCTTTATTCTTAAAACGTCATTATAGTTCTTTTATTCGTAGTCAGCATTTGTCTGGAATTTCACCTGCCTGATCATCTAACTTTCAAAGCATTTTGCATCTGTCATTGTTTAGTCATTACTCTTTTAGCTCATGCATCTGTCTTCTTTCTGCTCTGTCTGTCTTTCTATCTGACTGTCCAGTTTTGCGTTTAATTTTCTCCCTGCCTGTCTGAAAGTTCCCATCTCGATGAATAAATTATCGGATGTCAGGCATGACAGGTTAGAGGTCTCAGGGTTAAGCTCGCTAATAATATTCCCTCACGGAAGATTCACTTTACTTCAAGGAGTCTGAATCAATCAATATTCAAGATAGATGATGTACTCTGCTCTATGTGCCACCACTTCCTTGAAGACGTCCATACTATTTTGTTTCCACATTTACCAAGGTGTATTGTGCCAGATTATTTGGTACAACTCCAAACTTAAAGCAGATGTCTAAAATAACCGAGCTGAAATAAACATATTTATTGAATTTTGGTCTCACTGGGTTTTCCTCAAACTTGAAAACTAATTACTTTGCCACTTTTCAGTGTTTTCAAATTACATTAGCACTCTTGTGAATATCAGGAGGTCCTGTGTGAACAGCAAAGTAAACATAAACCTTTAAGTCATAATAATAATACAGTACATTTGCTTGCCTTTATGTCACGTTGACATGCACATAAATTAGAGAAGTAACCAAAAAAGTGTGTCCCAGTGTGTGTCCTAAACTCTAGCAAGTCACTGCCTAAGAAGGAAAAACTGATGAGAAAATACCAGCTTTGCCAATGAGGTTCTACTGCCTCTACTTCATGGACAGTCGGCCCCATCACTCTAAGAAATGATACATTGATGTTGCTAGCATTATGTAAACGTTTTATGTTAAAATTAATGTCACAATTGATTTTTAACTCTAAACACAAGGATATTGTTTTGATTTTAATTAATAACACAATATTTCAATACAACAAAATGCAGTACATTAAATTCAACGTAAAAAGTTCATTTAAAATGAACAGCACTTTAATTTGAAGAGGATTGTCCTAACAGGCTCTCCGTACTTCTCAGTTTGCACATGTGCAGTGTGGAAGTTTGAACAACTGCCATTTTCAACCGAAACTTGCATCATGCTCAGAAGCCTGGATAAAATCCATTGCCATTTGAGGATTATTTGGTAAGTACAACCATTTAAGGATGACATATTTGGTTAATGTGTACTAAATGATAAACATCCGACATTTTCGGGAGTACTTCTGTATGTTTTATTTTAAAACAAATGATGTCTGGTAATTTTTTTTTTTTTTAGCATTCTAGCTTGTATGCCTCTCACAGGTGTTATTAGTCAGGCATTTAACAAATATTATTGGGCCCACTTCGGTGTAATTTCCCAAAATGTTTTACGATTCATGTTAAGCTGCAACTTGCCTACTAAGAACTGCAGCTTTAAAATTACTCCCAACATCTACCGCGCATGCTCCCTGGTGTCAGTAATGAGCACCAGGAGCGCCAGCGATCCGATCCGTTTGAAGAATGAAATATATGTATAGTGTATTTTAGAAACATGCATCAAATAAGTTGCTACATTGTTTGAAGGAATTCTACCCCGTGTTGATATCTGGTTTAGTGTTAATATCAGTGATTAAAGTGTAAGACATGCATTTATCTTGTGTCATTAAAATGCAGCATTATGTGTAATACAGCTATATGTAATGCATTTAACTCCTTGTATCAGTTCCATTGATTATCAAAGTGACAATTTGTGTGTTCCCCCTTCATTTCATGTTGGTCAGCTAGTTCTGTCTGTCAGTAGATGCAACAAAAGTGGCTCAGATGTGATTGTGGTTACTGTTATCTTTTATTGTAACTCTTGTTATCGTAATAAATACCAGAAAATATTGTGATAGGATTTTGAATCCATATTGCCGAGTTCTAATCTTCTATTTCATTTTAACATTTTTAGGGGTACAATTAATAATTATATTGTTGAACAGTCTAGAATTGATTAAAGCAAAAGTGAAAGCTTTCATGTATTGTCAAAAATGAAAAGCTTCTAGTTTTGTGTTCATATATTTGTTGATCTGACTCAGAAGAATCAGTGCCTAACCAATCATTAACCTCACTGAATGTCACTAATGTGAGTTGTCAAACATTGTTTAATTACTCATCGCTAATCACTCATCTGTTAATATTTTTGACTTTGGTTTGGGAAGAGGTGGAAAAGAACCAAAATCTTGTCTCACATTGAGTTCTTATCTCCACCAGAATATCAGCATTGATGTTCGACGGGAATGCGTCCTAAAAACTATCTGTGTCTACTTAAATAAAAAGCCAGATGACCTGTTCAAGGAATTCTTGGTAAGTTAGAAAAGGGGAAAGATCAGTTTGTTTGTTTGTTTGGTTGGTTTTTTTAATTTGGGATAGTAAATTGAAGGTGGGCTCATTTGTTCATATGTATCTATATGCAAGTAACTTTTTCCCCCCTTTGTTTTCATTTTAAGGATATGGATCTTAGTGCAAGAAGAGAAACGGAGCAGCTGACTTTAGGAGTCTGTGTTGTCAGACATGAAGGAGCAGACTCTGCAGATACACCTGAGGACATTGGTGTCATCATAGAAGGATACACTGTGCTGAAAGCTCTTAGTGATGTGGCAAAGGGGTGTGCCCTCCTGCTTGGACTAATCTACAGTCTAAATCTGAGGTACCCAAAGCACCTGAAATACATATTTGAATTTCTTCAGAAGGTGCTGATGGAGTTGGATGGGAACAACCTATCCATGAATGTGCAAGTTCTGAAAAACAAACTGCTTGAGTGAAACAGCCTGCACTGAACTATAGAGGACACTGAACTGGTTACAAGATTCTCAAACCCATCTCCTTGCACTTTATAAACTGTTCAGTTTGAATTCCGCAAGAACTTCTGCAAGGCCTCATACTTTTTGGCATGCTTTGTTCATGTTGAACTTTTACCACCATCCAGCTACATTGAACAAGACTGCTCCTAAGTTTGGACTTCATTTTAAGTTTTGGGGAAAAAAAAGGTTTTTTAAATATGGACAAAAATGCCACTAAAGTCATTTCTACTTGTTGTTTATAGGACTGTATTGTGAGTTTTCCATTGTACCCGAAGCAAGTTTAAATTAAGTCATGTTAATGTTAAAAATGTTGGAATCACAACACTTTCCAGTTTTAATAACTTGATTTTAACATTCTGCATTATGTCTTCCTGTACTTAATATGCACTTGCATATATGTGAAGATATTTTTGTTTAGGAAAAAGGCATTGATCTAGAATTTTGAACAGCTCAAAGTTTGCTTCAGCACATTTTACACAAAGTGTTATTAAAGTTGGGTTAACTGAATAAAATTGTGTTTAATTTATTCAATTTACTTTAAATAGAGTAAGTAATTTAATCCTATAGTTTCAGTAGAGCTCGTTTAGGGTTAGTCAATTTATCAGATGTACTTAAAATTTGTTGTTCAAATTAAATGTGTCATACATTTTAGATTTCACTAACCCAGTTGTGTGGAACCGGTTGACATAACTGGGTGGAGTAAATGCAACATCTTATTTTATAGAGTAAGTAGGGCTTGTTTTGGTTGAGTAGATTTTATTTAGTGTTGTCAATTTAAGTCAACATGTTAGTTAGATCAACATTATGATATTTAGTTAATACAACACCATTCTTGTGATTTGCATTTAATTAGCCAAAGCTTGACAGATGTACTTAAAATTTGTTGTTCAAATTAAGTGTATCATACATTTTATATTTCACTAACCCAGTTATGTGGAACCGGTTGACATAACTGGGTGGAGTAAATGCAACATTTTATTTCTTAGAGTGCACCTATGTGAATGCATCCAGACTTTTCTGACACTGAGTTTGTTTCATTATCAAACATCCACATGTTTGTAGTTAATTTATGGCTAAGTTAGGTTTGATATTACAGTAAAACTACAGTTCAAGGACTGAGGGAAAGAGAGAGAGTTGGTGGTGAGAAGGTCCTTTTTGGTCTTTGATCTTTTACTTTTCACTATGAGCACATTGAGCCATGTACAGTATATATTGGCAATAAACACTACAATAGTATAAGCATGATATGCTGCAGAACAATCCATAATAAGGGTAACTTCTGAGACCTGTACCACAAAGAAAGTTCCATATACCAGGTTTTTTCTCCATTCATCTGCATTCCTTTATCCTAACATTGTCAATCAGGATAAACGGTCAAATGAAGCTGGTCATCAACTTACTAAGTGATGTATAACAAAAAAGCCAATAAAAACCTTAAAAGGTCACATAAAAGAGGTGGTACTGACATGATCTAACCTATCAGAAGTGCTAGTAAGCGTATTGCCAACAGAGCAGCTGACATTTCAAAAAAGATAAAACTATACTATGGAAAAAAAATAGAGGTTAAAAAAACATAATACAGACTAAAATCCACACAGCAATGTGTGTGAGAGGAAAAGCCCCGTTTTAACATATTTGAAACTTAGGAAAAAATCTAACAAAAATACAGACTGTGTGAGTTAACAGACTTATCAATATCACAACTAGGGATGGGTACCGGTGTCCGGTGCCATGATGGCACCGGACACCGAAAAGCAGCGCACATTTCGGTGCTTTATTTCGGTGCTTTTTTTTCCTGAGCTGTGATACACTTTAGATTCTAGCCAATCATTTTACGTTTCCGAGGATAGTAGGCGGGGCCAGGTACATACGTTCTGTTAGAGCAGAGCTACAGATTAAAAATGTCCAAGGCGAAGCGGTCAAAAGTCTGGCTGTACTTCACAGCAAAATATACAAACTCAGCAGCCTGCAACAAGTGCTTTAAGCTGATACTGTGATACTGTCAAAGGAGGTAACACCTCAAATCCGATGAAACACCTGGCGACGCATAGCGTTTTTTTTAAAAGCCCAGAAATGCGCCGTATTTGATAGCTTGCTGCGAGACCTCACACCGAGCACATCTACTGCGGGTGGGTTGCCTGTTATGCAACATCCCCCAAAAACACGAAGAGGAGAGTCCTGGCCCCTAGCCCTGCCAGTGTAGCAGAAATGATGACGGATGATGGTGGCAGCAGCCGTTCTTCTCTGCGTGAGTAGCTAATTTACGTTGAGTAGGCTAACCACGTTATTACATTAATGCATGTAAGGTGAACTAGCAAACATCATCATAGCTACATGCGGCTGTCCTCTTGTTTGATGGCAGATACTCCCTTCACCCTGGCTAAAAAGGCTAAAATGACCAAAGAAAAAGTGGAAAACAGTTAAACATGAGAGGTTTAGTACAAAGTTTGTGTTTTTTCCATTGTTTAAGCACTGCTTCCAGCCAAGAGTGATACCATATATGCCCCATAGCTGCAGAAAAGGCTAACATTGTTATATTTTTACAAAAAACAGCTGAACATTAGAGGTTTTTGGACCAATTTTGTGTTCTCCATTCTTTAAGCACCGGTTTGAGCACCGTTTGAGCACCGGCACCGTTTCAAAAGTACCGATTTGGCACCGGTATCGGATAAAACCTAAACGATACCCATCCCTAATCACAACCTTACCATAAAGACACGGGAAACACTTATGTTAATCAGAACATTTAAATGTGACAAATATATAAAAAAGTAAGAAATCCAGAAGTAAACAAATACTCTTTTACAGCACTGTGGGTTTGCAGAATAAGTTACCTGTCTACTGGTAAGAAGTAAGAAGTGATCAGCAGTAAGAGTTCATCTACTTTCATAGTACTGAAAACCCAAGGTTATCATTAAGTTACCTGGATAATCCTGGTCAGACTGTACTTTGTTGCGGAGCACTTTCAAACTCTGAGTGAAAGCAGTGGCTCGCTATTTTCACTGTTCAAAACACCGGGGAACTAGTGAAGCCTGCACAGAAACTTTAAACATGCTTCTTTAACCATGTAAACCAACTGACAGAGCATACATATTATTGTTTTTGTTATCCCAAGTGTCTTAACAGGAATCAGAATCACAATACTTTAATAATCCCTGAGGAAATTATGTGGCCACAGTTGCTTCAAGACAATGAGAACGATAACCGACGAGTTAAAGTACCAAAATTAGACAATATATTACGAAATATTACAAAAATATTGGAAAAATATAAACAAATACTTCTAATATATTAATATCCTAATATACTACTCAAAACAGAATGGCTCTTGTGTTTTGTTCAAGCTGTACCGTGCCAATAAACTTGACCCAGAGCGTATATTTACACTTCATATCTATTACCCTGCATCTTATGTGCATAATTATAGTGAGTGTAATGTAATGTCTCTGAGTGCTTCCAAAGCACAGGTGACCCCCCAGCTCAGCTCACACACGACCAGAGTACTAGAACTGTTGCCCTCTGACATGCAGCTCATTCTGTGCTTTCTATAGACAAAGTGTGTAACTACAGCTCTGAGTAGCAAATGAATCAAATATTCAGCTTTAAAAGAACAAAATGTAGAGTAGGAATGAAAATTTAGAAAGAAAGATATTTTGTTTACAATTTGAGTTAAATGCACTGGATGTGAGAACTAAGCAGAAGATTATACATCCCAACAGGGTTACGTGATAAATGTGCAGTATTGCTGATGCTTTGAATCCTAACTGCAGCGTCACCATTTTCCCCCTTTTTTCATTCCTCACACGGAAACTCCACTCCCACTGAATCACTCATCTCAGCGTACTCCTTACAGCCTCATACATGTTGCCTTCTGTGTTTCTTCTGTGTGCCAATATGACTGCCCTACATTTGAAAATGCCACATCAACTTTTTTGTTGTTTGTCAGATCCATTTGAAATTCAGTGTAAGCTAGCCCACCCACAGCCCACACCCACTTCTTTAAGCTCAGGGCTCTGTCACTGTGAGTGTTATAACACACACTCTTTTAGAAGAAAGGATGGCGTGTTTCTGATTTTCTGTCTACTTCTGTTCGTTTGTAGCGAACCTGGTTGACAGCTTGAATGCTGTTCACACTGCATGCCTCGGTTAAACCCAGCTATAGACCACCAGTACACACAGCGTGTTTCATTGTGCTCATACAGGGAAAACAACCCCTTCGTATACAGCCATTTCACCTAATGCACACTCCAGTACACAAGGAGACACACATACTATAGAAGTGCAGACATGCAATTTTGAAGCATATTCTAAAAATTCCCTAAGATGCAGTTTTGCTTTATGAGTTACACCAGTGCTACAGTATGAATGTAGCTCAGCACCATAATTCAATAAAGATGGCACTAAAGAAATAAAACACAATGAATAAAAATCATTTTTCTTGAATGAATGATAGTTAACAACTTGTTAATGCAACACAGCATGAAGTCATGAAGTAGTTTTCTTGTTTCTGGCTCAGTTTTAAGGTAACAACAACAGCACATCTAAGCAGTTACTAGTAAATATGTAGCTAAGTGGATATTTTTCTTTAAAACAAAACCAGCCTCTGAGTGTGTGTTTCTGTATTTGCGCTTCTTGTTTAAATGGTATCGCAGAGGATGCGTCCAGTTTACAGTACACAAAAAGCAAGCACATCCACTCTTTCTTAGCACGCTTGCACACTCAGTAGCCTTTAAGTGCAAGTCTTAAAAGGCTTGTCAAACCTTATTACAACTCCCTTGAATTGCCTTCATCGCTTTCTCCTGCTCCCGTTTTCTGTCTTCTTTCTTTCACAAACTCTGTCCTCCTCCCCGTCACTCCGCTCTCTTTCACAAACTGTCTTACTCTACATGCACCCAATCACATGCAGCAACATTCAGATTTATTCAAACGCTGAATTATTAAGGGTGCCAATTTTGAAGAGGTCTGCTCTGCATTGCTGTGAAAACACAATCTTCATTTCAACTGCAAATGTGAGGATAGACGCAGCCGAGTGAGCCAGAAAAAGAAAAGAAGGGAGAAAAGAAATTAGGGCAGTGATTTGAAATTCTATTTATGAATAAAAAAGAAGTTTAGAAAGTTGTTCACAGGAATTAAACATTTTAAGTGTGTGGGTTTTCTGGCAGTGCTGTATTGCTGAGTAAGTATTTCACCATGTGTGGATGTACTTCGCTGTGTTTGTGTTGGTCTCTGTAGGTGTGGCTGTCTGTTGTACAGTGGGGCAAAAAAGTATTTAGTCAGCCACCGATTGTGCAAGTTCCCCCACCTAAAATGATGACAGAGGTCAGTAATTTGCACCAGAGGAACACTTCAACTGTGAGAGACAGAATGTGAAAAAAAAATCCATGAATCCACATGGTAGGATTTGTAAAGAATTTATTCGTAAATCAGGGTGGAAAATAAGTATTTGGTCAATAACAAAAATACAACTCAA